GTCATGAACAAAGTTATTTACATTTCACTTGGTGTCACGTCCGCTATTTTGCTGTTGTCGGTCGGTATTTTCGTCTGGTGCTACCGAAAAAGAAAGGCAAAGACTACTGAAAGGTTTGTGGAGCTCTGCTAATGCGTGGCTGCCTGTTTTTTGTTTGGTTCTTTTTTCTTTTCAGTGGTTTGGTAAAGTAAGAGATTCAGCCGCGCTAACAGCTGAACCGAGGACAAAAAAGAAATGATAGGGGAGGAGGCGAGGGGAGAAGTAAATACGATTTTTTGTTTAAGAGCGTTTAAGGGACGGACCATTAGAAAAGTTATGTGGGGGCGGGGGATTTTCGAGCAGCATCAGTTTTGTTTCTTTAATGTTTCCCTTGAATGAATATTTTTTTTGTCAAGATGTTGTGCACGAATATTTTTTTTCACTGAAGTAGCACTAAACTAAAAAAATATTAAATCGTTCAGTTGTTCAGTTAGCCAAGGGCATAATTTAAATATAGGCTACCTGGGCACGTATGCGAAAGTAAATTGATACTTATTATAAGGTACAGTTCACAATGGTCTTTTATACACAAGGTATCCTGTATTGTACGTACATTGGTACTGCGCAAGTTCATATTGCATTGCTGAAGTTTTAAACAATTATTGGATGACGTTTTTGTGATATCCAGAATAATCAAGGTCGAGGTAGAGACGTTGATTATTCTGGATATCACAAAAACCGAATGTAAAATGTATGTTTTCAAAGTTTGTGTCAACTCTTTCTTTTCCTCAGGTTCGCTCAGCTTTTTCTCTTTCACTTAATCAGCAAACAGCTCCTTAGCCCCCTTCGTCGACTTTTTGTGTTCTGTGTGTCCTTGTCTTCAACTATTTTTTCGATGACCTGCTCGGTCAACGAAGCAAACCTGGAAGTCATGTTTTTGCTTCTTCACTGACGGCAAGCAACACAAAGCGCGCGAACTTGACATGATCACCCTTAGAAATATCATGCACCGCGGTCATACGTGACATGATTACCCGTGATCTTGAGTGTCCTTGACATGATTATTGTATAATCTGCAGCTAGATGTCGTACCAGGTGCTGATTTCGAAAATTCACTGTACGCTTTCGGCCAATCAGAAAAGAGATAGTGAGTTCAATGTATAATAATACATGTAAACAGAATTACGAACAAAAAGCACCGCAGGAATGTTTCAGGCTCAAACACGAAGGTTGCCAGTGTTAGTTCATCACTGGAGACAAAATAAGGCATTCTTGTGATATTATACAAAAAGAGTGTTTTCACAATAATAATCATAAAGTCTATTGTTGCGTTCTTAAAGAATACATAAAATAATTTATGTCCAACCACTATAAAAGATCTGATACGATATAAACACAGTGAGATAGGAGAAAGCCAGTACGAGTAGATGGGAGATTTGCTGCACATTTTTTGAGTCGCTAACCTGGATGCCAGAGACTTTTTATGGGCGGTTTCCGGCCCGGGGGGGGGTACTGTCATATATGGGCTATATAGGTATGTGCCGCTGTTAAGGGTATGGTTTTCAAGCAGTTTACTCTAGGATAGGGTGTATAAATCAGAGCGTTTGGGTCTAGAGTCAGGGGCACCCAACGGGAAATTTTGAGAAAAAGACCTAAAAACAACAACAAAGCGTGAATAAAGTTTTCTGAGACTATTTTAAGCATTTTGGGAGATTGCTGGCAAAAGATTATCTGTTCCTCACTCCCAGCAAGACTGATGGAAGAGTTCCCAGCCAGCAACCTTACAACCTGCAACCTGACTTACTGGGAAGTTTCATAGGGCACAATTCAGATCTTGAGTGGTAAGCAACCCATACAAGTAATCCGTAGCAGCTATTCTAGACTTCAAATCCCCTCTGACACCCTGAATTATCTTTTTCTCAGCAACACTTTCCTTCCAAGGACTATTATTTCTTCCACATCTCCCAGCCAGCAAAAATTTGCATGAAGAACAGATATTTTGCGGAACAGATCCATTGGGTGCCCCTGTAGAGTAGGGTATCATTTTTCAGGAAACTGATCAGTTGGTTGAAGATTTTATCTAGACTAGGTACACAGCTACTCTAGGATAGGGGGATTTGGGGAGTTTACTCTAGTATAGGGTAGCAAAATTCCGCTGAACTAGCTCTGGTAAAGGTTAAGGGTTCCAGGCTCCCAGCGGCACATCCCCACCCAGAAATAACTAAAGTGCCCCCCCCCCCGGGTTTCCGGTTTCGGTCATTTCTTTATAGTGAGCGGTGTGCCCACATCTGTTTAGCCACCTCTCAAAATTCAAATGTTTTTCGCCAAACATTCATGTTTGAACCCACTTTGAACCTATTTTAATTTCTCGTTACTTGTCTACGATTGGATCCAAACGACGGTATCACAGCTTGCGGGTGTGCGTGGATGTCGCCGGAAGAGACAGTTGTCGTTTTAATTGTTTACATACTGATGTAGCGAAGACCTCAATGAGCAATTTTTCACGAGGAGTGCATTTTAACTTTGGCCATTATCTATAATATTGTGCTCAGCGTAATAATCCGGCATTCTTTTTTTTCATTTTTCTAGGTCACCTTATTCACAAGACGAGATTATTCCTCCTGACAGGTGGGAAATTCTGCCTGAGCAAATAGAGTTTGATGAAGAGCTGGGGAGAGGAGAATTTGGTGTTGTTTACAAAGCACAATTTAGACAGAGAGATGAGATTGAGGTGTTGGACAATGAGGAGACTTCAAAATGGCCTGTATCATCCGCAAAGAAGGCAGCACAGCTGGTGGCTGTCAAAGTTTTAAATGGTAAGAAATACTGACTTTATCCTCATAGACAAAGGCATAAAGTCTTAACTGGCTTTCAGTCCTCTTCATACTACTTACTGTTAGCCTGTGTACAGCCGCCCCTCCCCTCAAAAAAATCTGTGAGAACCCTTTTGGATTTAAATAACTCTCTGGGAACTTTAAGATCTCAAAGCAGATTTAAACAGAAAAAAGAAAACTCGACTCTTTTCGAAGACGTGACCCCATGGCATTAAAACAAATTACACCACCTAAAGACATTGCATTTTTAAAATCGGGATTGTCTCTCGTTGGTGAAGAGCACGGCAAAGTTGGAAGTGCAAGTAATTTGTGGTTTCTTTATTCATTATGTAAGTGTGAAAAAGGCTGTTAAGTTCCAAAAAAGTAGGTTTAAGCCTATTAGCTCTAAACAAATGCATCTCTTACGAATTTACCTTTCCCCAAAACCAAAAAAAAAGTAAATTGATCTACAGAGCCTGAGTTAAAGCCAATAATGAAAATAAGTTTTAAAAATGCAGCCTCTAGTGAATACATGTATGACAACTCTTTCTGAAGGAAGGATCGGATGCATCTGATGATGTGGTCTCCCCTTTTTGTGATCCATGTTGCCCAGTTTACACCGCAAGTCATTTGATAATTTGAAAAACTAAGGGGAAGAAATTATGAAACTGAGCTACGACATCACCATGCTCACGTCTAGACACAGGGGGTATTTCCTTATTAGAAGCTATACAAGTGTGAGCGGGGCCGAAGGACATGGTTTTTAACCCCTTTATGTGTGAAATTGGGAAAAGATTTCCACGATTTGGGAAAAACAGATAAAACGTGAAACACGATTCGCTTTTGCTCTGCCTTGTACCAGGTCTGTATATATTTCATTTTACTTTATTGTTGGTTTATTATTTATTTGTTTATTTATTTATTTATCGATCCATTTTTTTTCTTTCGCCTTTTATGAACAGCGGTTTAGGTAGTGAAGGAAACACATAGTCACATCACACCACCACCCGATTTTCCAGGAGTACCTCGCGGGGTTGCTGGGAGGGCGCAGTGGTAAAATAAAAATAGTACTCTGAATATTTCTCAATAATCTATTACAAGGTAGAACACGTCTGTATATACCCTTGTGCATTAGAGGATGAATGGGAAGTGGTAAAAATGGACGAACATGTTTTTGAAATGAAACATTTTGCGCTGAATAATGCTGAAGAACTGAACGTTAATAAAATCAATGTCATTTTATTTAATTTTCTTTAGATAATCCATCTGAAGCACAGAAAGAAGAGTTCACGTTTGAGATTGAACAGATGAAGCTGTTGGGTTCACACAAGAACGTTGTATCCATGGTTGGATGCTGCATGCTTCAGGAGAAAATGTTCCTGGTTATAGAATACGTTCCTTGTGGTGACCTGCTGACGTGGCTACGCCGCAGAAGGAAAAAGGTAAGGAGATGAACAATTTTACAATTAGTTTATAACGAAACTATCAAGAAACAGATATAGGGAGACAACATTACGAATATATTTTGGTACCATGCAGACGTAAAGTACCGTTTTTGTTACTTGCTTGATGTTTAGATCAAAGAACTTCAAGCTACCGAGAGATCTTATGCCGACAAAGAGGTTCTGAAAGATCAGGGAGAGACCAGAGATCATGTAGGCTTGTATATAAACTGTAGTTTAACTTTCCATACTAGCTCTGTCCTAAAACGTTTATTATCCAGACTGCTTGTTTGTTTTATGTCTGGTTGACGCTAAGCTATCTAATCTACCCATCCGATTGTTGTTGAATGGTTTGCACGTAACGTAATCATAATTCAAAACAAAGAATTATTTATCCTTCTGAGTTTCAATTTAGTGAACTATTAGGACATACTGAACACGTGTATTTCTACAAAGTTTCAGTTCGAAAGGGATCTTCATCTTGTGACAGAACGCGTTTGAATATTCTAATATATTGCGTGACGCGACAATAATAGGGCAACAAAACATAAGCAAAAGCTGTCACGTTACTGTAGGTTAAAGAGCGACATATCTTTTCGTTTTTGATTTTGCTACCTGAACAGTCCTTGTTTTTTGAATAAGTATTAAGTTTAATGCTTATGAGCTCTCTAGAGATGAGTACTCGTTTTATGGCAATGTTTCTGTTAGTTTCCGGCCGCCATATCTGTGTTCCTCAGAGGGACGCCAACACGGCTGGCGTTTCAAAATCAAGTTCTATAAATTTGGGTAACACATTTCTCCGAATACCTCGCAAACGAAAAAACCGCTCAGACCTGAATCTTAGCGAGACTTTTTGCATATCCCTTAAATTCCTGAATTTATTCATTTCCACACTGGTCAGTAAACTTGCTAAGAAACAGATAAAGCAAGCGGAGAAAATACAATTGAGTATGGAAATGACCCCATTACTACAGGATAACAGCGAGGACACAGCGTCGACTTCTTATCATCTCGGTGAGGAAGTATGAGAGAAGTCAATCAGGAGGGCTAAAAGATTTTAGATAACGTTTATTTCTACTATATATTTATGGAAAAACTGCTTAACTCAACTTAAACGTGGTTAAGGCTTGTATTGTAGCTCATGAAAGGAACTCTCGTGTAATCCTTGTAATCCTGACTAGTGCGATCGATAGAGTCGATAATCGATAATAATGGATAAATCTCGATAAAGAGCGATTGATGAAGTTGAAAATCTATAAAAATCGAGAGAGGAAAAAGTTGTTGCTAATGGATAATTATCGACTTTAATCGATTTTTATCGGAGTTGTCGTTTTTAATCAGCGGTTACTCAATTAGGTTAACTTTGGCAAAGAACGTTGTTTCCGAACATAAGTACATTATTTATGTGGCTTTGGACGGTTAAATTTGTAGCGAAATTTATTTCACAAATTACACTCAATATTCTAACGAAACATTTTCGGCCAATCGACAGGATAAAAAAGAGTTATAAACAACTGACTCAGCTTGCTTGCACTGGAAACTGTTCAAGTTGAACCCTACAATGTATAGCTCATTCAGGGCCGTAGGAGTAAGGGGGCCGAGTAGGCCCATGCCCCCCCACTTTTTGGGCGACAATTAAAAAAAGAAGAAGACTACCACTTTACCGTCTAAAATACTGAGTGAATAACACAACGCAATTCCCCCTTCGATTTACAAAATGTGTTGATAGGGTTAATTTTGTAACCTCTCAAGTCTGTTTAAATCCCCGTCTCGACCTTAGCCAGCGCGTAAAACCATCTCTCCTCGCTCCTAATCACAAGGGATGTTTCCTTTCGCAGGGAAGACAAGGAGAGACGGCTGTCATAAAGACTACTGATCTCGTCCTTTTGTTGTAATTTCCTTGATGGTTGTTTTACCTTTCTTTCCGTTAACATCGTACCTTAACGACAACATCAGAGATGGGTAAAATATATACTAACCATTTGCATTTTCTTTCGTATTTTTCAAAATGTGCTGTGGATAACGCAGAAAATAGCATTTCCGAGCCCCTAAATTTAAAAATTTTCTGGCGGAGCATGCCCCCAGACCCCCTAATTTGCAGTGCCTTCGGCCTTCTAACTTTTTTCCCTTTGCGTACACCTTCAAAATCTCACTCTACATCCCTAAAATCTATTAATACGAACCTCGAAGACTTGCTTAACAAAGCGGTTTCAGGAGGCGATTTCTCAAGTTAGCCATTATCAACCTGAAACTTTCATGGTCCAGATATGAACAAGGAACGTCTTGAGACGCAGCTTACTAGTTTGAAAATGCATGCTCGAGAAAGTGCCATAGCCTCTGTCATCCATAATAGAATCTCTTAATGCAGGTGCTTCATTCAATGAGACTGCAACAGTTTTAGTGAAACTGATATCAGTTATGTATGCCTCAAGTGCTTTGAGTGAAAGGTCTTTCAGTGCCTCAAAAAGAATCAGAATTATCCTAGCTCTACCATGACGCAAAACACGGATGAACAACCTTTTGCGCGCTGATATCGGTATACAAGGAAGGCGCGGACAAATTGATGTTGCTGATTGATGTTGCCAACGACTTCTTCACTGAAAACTCTCGCAGGTTGTCAAAATTTGGACACTTTTCAGAAGTCGACCTACGTTGAACATTTAGCTAATTAATTAGTACTGACGGAAACCACTATATTTTCAACTACGGTGGTCATACTGGTTTAAATAAGTTCCATGGCCTCCACTGCCGCAGTAAATTTGAGTGGACACTCGGCGCCCGGACACCGGTCCCTTTTTTTCTTTTGTCTGGTACAGCCTGTCTATAACATGTGTACTATACTCGGCTAATTGTCATCATTTCAGTCTAGATTCAAATGTTACGTAGCCGTTCATGTTTTATGTACCACAATACAGGTTAAATATTACCTGAAAGTGGATATAAACTATATCTAAAAGTTCTTAATAAATGGCCCAGTCTGCATTAGAGCGAAACCGCGACATCCGCTCTATACGAACACCCCGTTAATACGGACACTTTCTATGTCCCCCTCAATGTCCGTATTAACGGGGTTTGACTGTTTAGACACTTTAAAGATTTGGCGGGGGAGGGGTCTCGGCCCACAACAGTCGTGCCCTGTCACTTTCAGCTTCGTTCCTACGGGCCTGGTTCAAGTGGTGAGGATACTGATCAGTGTACAGTTTTTCAGCAAGGCCCTTAAATTGCTTCTTCAAAAAAATATTGGAAAGGATCATTTAAATCGTTCTGTAAATATGCAAAATAAAGTAGATAATGAACTCCGCAACTAAATGAAAAGAGAAGTAGCATGACCATAAAACATGATAAAAATGTGAGATAAAATCATCATTTAAAACAGAAAACATCTGCATATTTCTAATATAATTTGCTGTAAAACAATGCATTATTGGGTTTTGAACCTGAGAGGCAATCGGTAATATCGTTAAATTAGTTAAAAACGATAGCGCTGACAACTTATTTTCTGATATCGATTTTTATCGATTGCGCAAGTCTTTCAAGTGTAATATGCAAACGTTATCTCCTTATTCAATGATCGGGAAACCGAGAAGCGCCTGTTTATGAAAGAATTAGTTAACTATAAAGACGTTTAGAAAAATCAGAGAAAGATTTGGGGATCAAGTAGGCTTACCACAAAACTAAATTTGGTATTGAAGATTTTACTGATCAGGCCTAAAAGATTTTACTGATCAGGTTTGTCGTTGTGGTTGTGCCTTCATAAGTGTTTCTCATACCACAAAACGTAATCATGAGTTAATCTTCAAATTTATTTATTTAGACTAAGTACGTTTTAACTAGATTTTTTCCTGGCATCTGTAGGTCATCTGGTTTTTGTTGAACTTTAGTCTTTAATTCACCGAAATTCATTGCATAGAGTAACAACAGAGTGGAAATTTGAGGTATACTTGAACGGATAGAATACAAGATTCCACGATATATTATCATAAAGAATGATAATGGTTAAACGAAGAAAATGGCCAGTACTGGACCGATAAATTAAGGTTTTTGTTTTTGTTGTTGTTGTTTTTTTTTACAAAGGAAAGTAAACCTGCTAAAGATCGGACAAAGCCGGAGCAGCAGACGAACGAAAACATGGAATTGACTTCGTTACCAGAAAAAAGCATTAATGATGAAGTCCGACAGGATCTGGCGTCGACTCTTCAAGGCCAACTTGTATGGAAGAAATACTTAAATATTTCATTGAATTTGTTTTCCTTAATTTTATATATCATTATCAAAAGAGAGCAATGATGATGTCCGACAGGCTCTGGCGTCGACTTTTCTAGGCCATCTTGTAGAAAAGAACTACTTAACAACGTCTTTTTTTTTTCTTAAATTTAATTATATTGAACGCGGATAAGGCATGCAGACAATGAGGAAACTTACTGGAAAATAAGCAACAATTTTCCACGAAAGTAAAGTTCGACATCTCTTTCTTTAAATTATTCTATTGACCGTGCTCCAAAATAAGCTAAACTCACTTGCTGAGCCATTGACTGCATCCACAATACCACTCACGATCTGTCTGATGTAAAGAATTTTCAGTTGTATGTTAATGTAGCTTTATTACTGGTTACGATGAAATGTTCTTAGAGAAATCTTTCTGGGTAACGCTTATACCAGAATACGATCAATCGAAGCACCCACGCGTGCACTCGATAAAACTTTGCAGGTATGGCAAATGAATCTACATGTATATGTTGCAGTTAATTTTTAATTTCAGTTAATTTTTGTTTTTCCTTTCTTTTAAATTCATTAGCATACATTACCATACCCCAAAACAATGGAAAAATAAAAATTAACTGAAATAAAAAATTAACTACAACATATATTTTCTGATTTAAGGGACCGGTCATTATTTATCGCCGCGGGAGGGGAGGGGGGATTTTAGGGGGGGTCACTTGATTTTGGAAGAACAAAAGGGGGGATCAGTTGTAACTGAGAACCCAAAAGGTGGGATCGCTGAAAACTTTGGAAGGATTCAGACGGTTGGCCACTCAAATTTGCTTGGAAAATGAGGACATGTGGGGAGGAGGGATCGCGAAAGTCATCAAAAGTTATTATGGGGGATCACTTCAGTGAAGTAACATTCAAAGGGGGGATCGGCTAAATTTCACCTTGTTTAGCCCCCAAATCCTCCCCCCGCTGTTAATAAGTAATGACCGGTCCCTAATTACTTTCGCGCGCTTTTCAAAAAGCGGGAGAATTTTCCAGCCAGTGGCACAGTCCCGTTTTTGCTGACATTCTGGGTACTTAAATTGAGGCTCAACAAGCATGAATGCTTTAAGATGTTTCATGGTGTTGCTGTTAATCTTTGTTTTACGTCATTTGGTAATTGCACCAATCCGAAACACCAAGAAACAACCGCTTTTAGGCATGTTCTTCCTGACAAACGCTTTCGTCGAATGGACGGGAGGATTAATCTGTCTTCCCTTCACGCACAGGAAGGACAGGAAAGCAAAATTTCGACGAAGGCAAAGGAAAAGAAGACACAAGTGACCATGGAAATGGCTTCATTGCGCCTGGATGACGTTACACAGGACATGGCTTCGGCCACTCACGATCTGTCTGATGTAAGAAGGAAGTGTTTAAGGCGACAACAACAAGAATCCGGATTCGGTGAAACCGATTACTTTATTTTTGCGTCAACTTAAATTTGGAGTGGTGTATCCAGTTTCACGCTATCACACGAATACGCTACTGCGGTTTGCAATTGCAACTGCACTCGGGCCAGCGGTGTGATTTCACTGGCCGTATATCCTTCCCAGTTCCAGTGTTTTAGGGTAACATTTCATACACTTCTCAAGTGGGAATGTCAAAGAGAAATAACTAGATAAAGGCCAATTCATTCGTCTGGAGCGAAAGTAGACAGAGGGTTGTTGGCCTCTACTTTAAATTTTTCAAGTTCCCAAGTAAGCCTGGACCCGAGTTTATGACGTTGATTTAAAAATATCCGGTTTCAGTCGTCTTCACGAACGCGCCAAACCCGACGGATCAAAAAAAAAAGAAATCCACTCTGGAAGGGGTTTCAATGCAATCTCGATGAGCGGATTTACCGTTTTCGTGTAGAAAATGGAAGGCTGATTCGTATTAAAAAGGGTGCGGTTTCAAAAATATCCGGATTCGTGTGGACTGGGCCTAAACCTTACACGTTTCCTTTTTTCACGTAACGAAGGGTGTAATGTAACACCTTCCTTCTTTACGTGCGTTGGATAACGTTAAACGTGACCTTTAAGTGGAAAGATAGCGCGTTACAAGCGACCGTGACATAAGAAGTGGAACGTTGTGGTTTGCGAACGTTAAAACTTTTTTGCCCTTAAATTCTTTTACTAAAGTCTTGTTCTTGTGCCCGTGAAATGTCATGGTTTTTGCATAGGTGCCCCAACCTCACGCGTGAGAATCATTCATGCGGAACACTTTATGAAGGCTTGCATGTAGTTTCTAGCGTATCCCAATTTGGGGTCACAAATAGAAATATCAGCTCAGTGTCTGTCTAACCTCAGTTGACTCCAAGTTTTCATTATTGAGTTATAGGCGAGATTGCGTCAGAAAATATTTAAATTTTGCTGATTTACACATTACGTCATCAAAAACTCCAAGGAAAGAATTATCGATCCTCCTGAGTTCTTAGTTTCATGAATTATTAGAGCAGCTAAAACTAATATTTAGAAAAATTTTCACTGCGAAAAGGTTCTTCGTTTTGTGATACAGTACGCTTAAATTTCTAAGCTTTTGCGTGACGCGGCATTTACGTGGTAGCCTGCGAGCAAGCTCTCCGGGGCGCTCTGGCGGCGGGGCAGGAAAAGGAAGGAGAGCTTGCAACTACGTCTCTGGAACTTGAATTCTACCTCCAATTCGCCTGTGGCTCCCCGTCGACTGAGCTGTCAGATTTCCGCCAATCAGCGCGAAGCGGAAACGAGCGCGATTGCAAACAAACATTGAAAAACATGTGCCAAGGGTAATGAATGGCCTGATTATTAATGTCATCCCCGCCAATCAGCATTTCGCATCGACTTATTTATTTTCTAGAGATTTAGCTCTAAGCTCTCCTTCCCTTTCCCGCCCAGCCGCCAGAGCGCTCCGGAGAGCTTGCTCGCAGGCTATTTACATGGCGGACGAGGGAGCTGCCATGAAGGCTGAAAAAGTGACTCTGTTGGGGGGATTTTGCTATCTGAATGGTCATTGTATTAGTATCAATGTTAATGAGTTCCTCAAGAGATGAATTCACCCTTAAGTAGCACAACTCCGTGACACATGTTTCTGTTGGTTTCCGGCCGCCATGTTAGTGACCATCCGGATGGACACCAACATTGCGTCTCCATATAAAGCTCTATAAATGTAGGTAAAAAAATTCTCCGAATTTCTCGCGCTTGAAAAATTGCACCGACCTGAATCTTGGCGAGGGCCTTTGTATATTTACCTTCTTTTATTTCCCTGATTCTAGACTTTACCTATTAAACGGTTTTGATTTTTATTTTTAATAGCATGACAGTGAAAACCAGCAATAGCTTTACATTTTTTCTACATGTAAATGTGAACGCCATTTTATTTAATCATTTAGCAAAGTTTGGCTGATGAGTATGAAGTTAAGGAGGATCAATCTTCTATAGACCAAGACCAAGACGACATTGCAGTGTGTCCGCAACAAAGCAACAAAGATGCCGTTCTTGAAGTGATTCCATCGACTTCCACCGAAGTAGATGTAAGACGAAAACAAAAACACCATAATTAATTATTCACTAATGAAGAAGAATTTGCCTCTAAGGCGCCTTATTTTGCTTACGTTTCACGTTAGAAGGACACAACGTGATCTTGGTGTTCCTGTGCCACTAATGTGTTTCGTTGATGGTGTACCTTTTCTGCGCTGTCTTGGATTTACGTTTCAGCGTCTTGTTTTCATTCTCTTGAGCTATTTTTAGTTGCGGGCTTGTGACCTCCAGAACGATGGCTGATATAAGGAATCGTCTAGTAAAATGGTGGGTTTGTTGTTTTTAGTCAGTAGGACGTGTATCAGCAGGTGACCAAAGCTTTCTGGGTAAACATCAAACTGTGGGCGTGGATTTCATCCTAGACTTGAAAACAGTACCCTGAACCCAAAGTAAATTTTATCTAGCTCTAGACTGGTCACTTTGAAGTTACTTTCAATAGATAATACTTGTATATTCCGTGGCTCTTGTCTGGCTTAAGCGAATTATGTTATTTTTATCTTTTTATCCGTTAGTTACTTATT